CTGGGCTCATGTCTCCCTTCTCGAGTTGCTCGGCCGAGTCCCCCCGACTTAAACCCTCAAAAAAAAAAAAAAAGAGTAAATCCAATGTACCCCGTTGGATTTAACCGAGCTGCCCAATTGCCAACCCTTAACTGTCAACTCTGAAAATGAAATCGGTGTATCCACCGGCACTGGAGAATTAGCAGAGGGTGCTACTACCTGCAATCAGCTCCTTTAATTTAGCTTTTCGGCAGCGCTGTCTGAAACGGCCCCGACGCCTTTCGCTCGCTCTTGTGCAAGAAGCAGTCGTGCAAATTTCTGAACTGCTAACACACCTGAGAAGCTGCGTGCTGTACCTCAGATTGAATATTTAAATTCTTTTCGAGGCTTTTTTTTTTTTCAAATCAGGTGCACTCAGCTGTGCTGACAGTATTGCTGCCTGGTTTTGCTGTCAGCTCTTTTCCCCGGGAGGGGAAAACTGCTGTTGGGAAGATACTTGTGAAACACGCTTCAGATAAACGTCTCAGATGAACGAGAGAAACTGCTGCCACGGGCACACCAAAACCCAACCCCGCTTCGAGGTTTGGGGCCACCACCTCCAACCTGCTGATCCGCAGCATTCGTTTAACGATGGGGCTGAGCGCGTCCCCGAGAAACGAGCTGTGAGCAATTAAAGATGGAAAAACGACTCAGTGAAAACAAAGCAAAAGGGAAAAGGAAAAAAACAAAAGCACACAGTTGCACAGGGAAGGAAAGCGCAGCATGCAGCCCCCAAACGCCGTCCCCAAGGTGCCCCCACCGACTGACCCGCCTCGGGGATTCTAAAATTGAGAGAAGAGCCCGCCGTCACCGCCGGCAGCGGCATCGCGAGGGTGTGAGAGCTCATCCCGGCAAAGCAAAGGTCAGAGGTTGTTTTAGCTGCCACCACGAGCAAGAATGAGATGGGTCGGAGGAACGTGGCATTCCCGACTGGTTAGTTATCACGGAAGTCTCATACTACCGAAGAAAAACAGCAATAAAAACACTCTGCAGAGTTTGAAGGGAATACAGTCAACTTAAAACATAAAGGAAATCGGTTGAACCAGTGCAAAACAGTCGAGATATTCTTATTTGTACTTTATATTGACCTGTCAAAGTCAACCTTCCTTCTTATTTGTATGAATCGTTCACATTACAAGAGCTGTAAAAAAAATTAAAAATATACATGCTTAACAGAATCTGAACTTAGCACAAGACAGATAAAACCATAACAAAGAGCAAGCCTCGAGCTATGTCTGTTAAAACCCCAGAGGACTCTGATTTTCATTACCTCTTTTTTTTTTTTGTCTCTGATGAGTCTTTCCCACAATCTCACTCCCTTCCCTACCTCCTGGCGGAGATTTTACCAATATTAGAAATTCATCTTCTAACCAAGTATTTCCCGCCATAGATTATAAGAGGAACAATTCAATTAACTTAGTTGACAATTCAATTAACAATTAGCTAACAAACAGTTAACAATTCAATTAACTCAGTTTTAAGTTAGGGATACTGCAACGATCCTGCAGAGCTAAACCCATACTAATCACAGGTGGGTTTTTTTTCCTAAAAGCATTTTTAACTCTTGCTTTAAAAATCAAGAGAGTCATGTTCAGAATCTTTACAGATTAGATCTTTCAGAACTTGAAATTAAATGCAGTGTTACCTTATCTGTGCTATAATCGTCACAGACAGCACTGGAGCCCATCATCTCAGAATACAGCTTTATTACTTACCAGATTAAATTAACTGTACAGCTGTATAAATAAATATCTAAGGGACTGTAAATAACATCCCATCATTTCTGCAGCAGATTTGGATAAGTCAGGTCCTTGGCTACTGGCAGCATGGGGAACGTACCTTGAATTAAGCACGGTAATATTAATTGCAAACTCCTAAATCAGCGATCGCAGGGTGATGCTGCAGGAGGAACACGGGTCTCCCAGCAAATCTGGGGCTACGAAGAAATTAAGAAGCCCAAAAGTACCCAATGGGATCTGCATCTGGAAAAATTCCTCAAATTTTCCCCCCAAATCAAGGTTCATAACCACAAACGCTGCTCCCCTCGTGATCTCCGGATCAAACCGCACCGATGTTGCTTTATGTGGGGAACCGCAGACACAACCTCTAAGAGCTACGCTACTGCAAAAAGTTTTATCTACAATGGGAAAGGATCGGGCCTTATTTTTCTTAAAATCTAACCAACTCACGACAGACAAAGCATTTAATTCAAAAGTGTTAGTGCCACCTGCAAAGAAATTGAGCGTTTAAGGTAAAAAATCATGAGTATCTGCTGCAAGATATAAACTGAAGCACCTTAATATGACAAAGCAAACAAGTTAGATCCTAAAAGTAAAATTTGTTTGCGGATATTACTGGCTATAACCCACAGCTGGAGAAAAAACTTCTCAGGCTCGAAAAAAGTTGTTTTGTTCCATTCATAAAGCACGAATAGTGAAACATTTCTTACATACTGCAAATCTTACTAGCAAATATTGTGCTTCCAAGGATCAAGATTTTTGAAAAGGAGTCAATAAATGGCCACAGCTTAAAGACTTTTGCTTTGTTTAAATCAATGATTTTTGATTTCTCTTCTTTTTCTTGAAAGAAATGAAAAAAATCTGCCCAAAACAAATTATATGTGCTAAGATAGAAATAGGACAATTTTTTTTTCCTAGCATCTAAGCCGCTTTTGTGTTAGTTCTGCTTCTGTCTGACAACAGAAAGATACAGCAGAGGTGACCAAAGAGCAGAGTGCAGCAAGTTCAACAAATTGGGAGAGAGATTATGAGATGGAGACAGGCAGAAAAGGGAAAAAAAAATGAGAGAAAGCTACAGCACATTGAAAAGGGAGGTGACACTGGGTCAAAACTGGAATGAAAGCTTCCTTCGCCCCACGTTTTGGAATCTAGATGCTTTCCAGAAGTAATGTAGCACACAGAAGAGCAACACTAAGGGTTGCTGAGGGTTTTTTTGAGTTTTTTTTGTTCATCAAATGCTAACAGATTTGAATTAACAGATACAAACACTACTTAATAGCAGTTACTAAAAACAAACAAACTGAAAGAATAAATTTTGGGGAAAGGCAGGCAATTGTCCTCTGACAAATAAAGTCTAATTTCTAGGCAATGAAAAATCTTCTCAGTAGTAAAATACCCCTAAACGTGCAGTGGAACAAACAAAAAGCCTAAACGTAACAATTTGTACCAAGTCTCAGCTCCAATTTCCTGAGGAAAAAGAGGAACTCTCACAAAGTCCTCTCTCCTGTCCAGCCCGATTTGGTGCAGAAAAGAAAAATAAAAAAAAAATTGAGATGATGATATTCGAGCTTGAATTTTTCAAATCAGGTCGAGCACGCAGTGAAAGACGGCTCGTGATCTGTCGACATGAAGCACGGGAGCGGAACCTGAACATTTCAGAGCGATTTGGAACGAGATGCTCAGGACTAAAGGATCTGCAAACCCTCCGCTGTCTCGGTGTGCCACCGGCAGGAGAGGCCAGAAGGGAGCCTCCACGTTTGCCAGAAAGCTGAAGCGTAAAAAGGACTCTTCGCAGACAGCCTACCCCATGCAGTTATTTTCTACAGACTCAAAGGAATTTAAATAAACTTAAAGGAAAGTAACTCCCCCGACCAAACAACACATAATTCTAGCGATGCTAATAGACAATGAAGAGGGACAGATTTGCCTTCTTGCACGGCGACTGTTTCCTGCGCAGCAAAATCAAGAACTCACCTCATCGTACTGCGAGCAAAAAGCCATTAATTTAAAAGCAAACAAACAAAAAAACCCCCTCCAAACCCACAACTTCTCTTCTTGCTAAGTAGGTGAAAGCAAAGATCTCTAACTTCCATTTCAAAAAGATGTATGACTTTTAAAGGATACGGTCTGTACCAGGGAACAACGTTCTTCCAGTCAACAGTTCAGCCATAATGCAGCCCACTGACCAAATATCAACTGAACAAAATAAAATAAAAAACAAAACGTAAGGTAGAAAAATACGGTCTCAACAGAAGCACCCTATCCAACAAATGCAAACAACTTTATCCTTAAATAGTCTTAAGGCATTGAAAACATCTGAGATAGGGTGCAAGCTGTCTCCTACAGGTCAGTAAACTACATTGTCTAAGACTTGGCCAAATAAAATACCAGACTGGGGAAATTTCCCTCCTAGAGCATAACATGCACTGGACTCTGAAGAGCTGCGGAGGAATTTACATCCATTAGAAGAAGAAACTGGTTCAAGAGAACTCTGAAGGAATAAATTTCCACGTGGCTTTACATAAATCCTACCCAACCAACCATTACTCTGCAGATACAGGACAGTCCGTACACACACAAGAGGAAAAGTAAAAGCAGTGAAGTATGAAATCAGGGTAGCACATTATCTTCCTGTGCAAGAGCTAGTCTCAGCGTTGACTTTTCTTCTCTGCGCCTGATCTGGCAGCACCACAGGGAAGCTCGGGGTGTTGCTGGGAAGATGCTGAAAACTGTGAGGAAGATATAACTGTGAAGAAGCAGCTAAGAAGAGTGGAAAGGAGATTTATAGACTTTTTAGCATTTCTTCACATCGTAACTCCAGACATTTTCCAGCGCACTCCCAGCAGCTTCCTAGAAACACACCTTCTCCCCTTCTCACCCACGTTCCACTCACTTACTTTACAAATAACCGTGCTAGAGAAAAAAAAACAAGCGCTGACAGTATTTTGCTGATGTGGTAAATGCATTACCTGTCTGGTTGTAATGCATCCAGTTGAGCATGATCTCGGGAGCCCTGTACCACCGGGTAGCCACATACCCGGTCATCTCGTCATCTGTGTGTCGGGCCAAGCCAAAATCCAGGATCTACAGAATAAATAAATAAGAGACATCCACCAACCGCTGCAGCGGAACAACGCAAACTAGGCAGAGCAAATAACTAAGCAGTTACTGGATTGGGTGGAGGAGAGGTGGCATAACTGCAAAAGCAGGTTATGAAACTTCATTTCACAACCTGTCCAAAGACGCTAGCCTAGAATAGCCCAGGACTCGATTAGGACTCAGAATTAGGTCTGGATTATCTTGTCACTAAAACAACTAAGCCCAGACTAAAGCTGGATTCAGTTAAAACCACGGGAACAGATACAGAAAAGCACATCCCTGCAGTCAGGAAGGAGATTATTATACTCTGGGCCACAAGAGTATTTCAATAAGGAATTAGTTTTATCCCTTTAATTCCAAGGGACATCCACAAGGTATTCACTCGAATGCCCGGCAAACCAGTCCCACCTTACGATTACATTACCTTCAGCTCGCAGTCTTCATTAACAGCCAGGTTACTAGGCTTTAAATCCTAAAAAAATCAAATGAATCAGCATTAACGACAGTATACATGCTGTTTCGCAAGTCTATAGCAGATAAAAAGGTAAATGCAGATAGAAAATAGATTCTAACTCGCTGTAAATCTCAGTTCTCCAAGCTGGGGAGAATTATTTTATCCCAGAGCCAGCTATCTGTTCTGTGGTCTTCAGAGACATCACATATAAGCAAAAAAATGCAGAAAGGCTTATTGCAGCACCAGTGCCACAGATGTATATTTAGCTACAAGCCACATGTAGGCAGGAACAAACTAAGGATCTTGACAACCACCTCCTGTCTTTACCTAAAATAATTCACGGAAAATTTCTTCTTGTCTCTGTAGGTGCTACATTGTAAGATTCTGCTCTACATGTTTAAGATATTGGTTCAGTACAGGACAAAATCTTAGGATAAACACTCACCCTGTGTATGATGTCAGCTGAATGGATGTACTGCAAAGCAAGATGACAAATTTTACACGATAGTTCAAGTAGCCCCCGTCCGATTTCTCCACTAGCCAACAGCGCCCCAGCCCACCCCACATTCATAGTCAGAATGGAGCAGAGGGCAGGACTCTGTCATCTTCCAGGTTCTGCCCATAGGAATGTATAAAAAGATCTTCTTAAATGACACACAGGTAACCCTACGGTACGTTTGGAAGGTTAGAGAAGCCCCACTAGGTACTCATACGAATGTCTGAGAGAACACCCATCAAGCACTTCCAGCTGCCACTGGCGAGCTATCGGCACAAGTACCTTCAGTCCCCGAAGAATTTGGTAAATGAGGAACTGCACATGGTCATCGGTGAGCTTCTGGCACTTCACAATGTTGTTCAGATCTGCTCCCATGAGGTGTGTCACCAAGTACCTATGCATAAAACAGAAACACACAGGCTGTGAAGCAATCCCTTCATCGGGAGTAGGATGAAAATTCCCTATGGAGCTCCAGCAGCAGGGCTTACTGTCCCAAAATAATAATAACTGAAATGCAGTTGACGACACTTGGATAAGGTGGCAGACTGGTATGTCAATTCCTACAGCACTGCTCAATGACACACCAGCAAACCAGTTGGAAGAGTCCAATAGTTTAGGATGTCCTAATATTTTTGGTGTTGGAATTCAGAATTGTCTGAGAATGATAGCAGACGAATTGAGGTGGAAATATTTTTGCCATCATCTGGGAGATGCAAGGAAAAACACAAAAGATGTTTTGTTGCAGTCTTCAAAGAAGTTACCTACACATCATTGAATTCTTCTAGTGACTTGGCAGGGGTGAACACATCCAACAAACCAATCACCTAGAAAGAAAATGGCAAAGTGAAAAAGCTGTGAAAAACATTCATGGTATAATACGATACGGTTATTAAGATCCTTTGTGAAACAGGAACTCTTCAATCTGGAAGATGTTTCATTTCCAACCAGACGAATCATTCAGACGGAGATATATTAGTATTCATACCAGCCCAGAAACAAATGTTGGATTCTTGAGTAAAAAAATAAATAAAAGTTAAAAACATAACAGCTGTCTTTTCACAGGAGCCATCCACTTAAAGCATCAGAGGGACAGTAACAAAAGGCAGGTGTAAATGCTGAAATAGAATATCTTATTTCTAAAGCCTGCTGAAGTTTGTTCAGGAAATAAGCAGACAAAAGAAACAAAAAAACCCCCACCACCAGACAGATCTGCTTCCCGAGCAACTCTCAGCTAAACTGTTGGCTCCATACTAAAATCAGAATTGGGAGACTATTTGTTTCACTTCTGCTGAGTAATGGCTAGAAAAATTCAAGGATCTGTATCACCAGCAATGAATAACGATGACTACAGTAAAAAAATAAGTCAGGGAAACAGTGCAAGGCAGTGAGGACCCAGTTTTCAAAGAGCTGGCAGCCTCACGCTGCCATTTGTATCTCCTGCTCCAAGAGCAGCTGCTCCACCTTTCACTTCCCAGCTAGCAGTAGGGAGGAAAGGGATATGCATGTGTTACTTTGTGGAAAAGAAGAATGATACCTAATTATCTCAAGAGTATCTTCTAGGTCATTTAACAAAATAAAAAATCTATCTAGTTGATAAAAGTTTATTCTACACAAGTGCACAAGAAATAAAAACCTCTGTCTAATCTCATAGAGTGCATTTTATTGAGGAAACGGAAGAGAAAGAACATTTTCCTGCATCTCTTGATATACAATCACAGCAACTCCATTTTTTGACAGACATCTTTCAACTGTCCCATTCCCATCCATCCTGTATCATGTATCTTGTGCTTACAGTTTCTTTCTCTGGTGGACTCTTCCATTCAACATTATCCACCCAGTTTAGCACAGAAAAACGAAAACTGACTTTGCTATCTAGCCTTCAGGGTTTGTTCGTTTATCACTTTCATCTTGCCACACTGCAAAGCGCAGCATCAACCTATCTGTCTCTTCCGTGGCGTCGCACAAACACTTAAATATAGCTATTCCGCAGCGCATCCCTGACTCACTTCTAAGGAAGTGTGAACACCAGTAGATTCCAAATCCAACTCCTAACCTTTTGCTTTCCCCTCTCCACATTTTCAGATGTCACAGAGCTTATTAATTTCTTCAGATGACAACAAACCCATTTGCTCTCCCATCTGCTTCACGCAAGCTAACGAGGCCTCCTGGAACTCGAAAAGGAAACGCAGGCACGCTCAAGCGTTCTGCAGGTGCGTTTATTTGCTCGAGATCATGACGAACCAGACAAGACACAGGAGAAAGAAAACCAGCCCATGCTCAAGCCCCTCAACTGCCAGACCTCTAGACGTGCTGGCATATCTCAGGCCACGTAAAATTAAGTGTTTGACTTCTGAACCGAGATCTGAATAGTCAAGGCACTGGCTGCCTCAACTGGCTCTCAACATCTCTGCATCTGCCGGATTTTTTAAACCACAATCTAGATAAACTTCCCACAGGTAGGTGTGATGAACTGATAAACACTTCTATGTATAAACAGCTTCCTCTTATCTCTTACCCTTAAAGCTACGTAGGCTCTTTGCAATATTAATCCAAAAATATTCACGAATGCCAGACACAGAACCGTTGTGGGACCAGTCAGCCTAATTTTCATCGCTTAACCTTACCAAGCTTGGACAAAACAGGTTGAGATGCTGATTTTTTAAATTTTTGTTTGTTTTGCAACCAATTTTCAAAGCTTTCCTGTTCGAAGAACACCTCAGCCATGAGAAAATGTCCAGAAAAAAAATCTCAAGGGGATGGGTATTAAGCAGGATCAAACGCTGCCTTTCCTGTAGAGACGACGGTATCGTGCAGAGGTGCTGAGGGAGAATTCTTAACACATCAGCATCGCCAGTTCCAGTTGGGTGAGCCACAGTAACAACACCAAGAACATTTAGGGGCTACCAGCTGCTGGCTGGGGTGGTTAGAAGCCAGAACACACAACCACCACCACCACGACAGAGGGAATTCTGGACAGACCATCCAAGGAGAACCTTCCAACGAAAATACACTTGTTTGGCTTTTTGTGCCGGATAAAAGGACCCGGGTTTGCTGAACTCAAGTCCAAACCAGCATTTCCCTTCTGCTAAGTTGGAATTTGCTTGGACAAAAGAAATCTAGAGCCTTCCTTTCCTCTCGATGTTCTGACAGCTCTACAGAGGGCAAGTTAGGAGACTTTTTGTTCTGCTACATGTAATATTTACCCCATGCAACAGAAATACGTTGGTGTGTTAACGCCACAGAACCTGCCAACCAACCCTTTTCTACACCAAACGGAAGTTATAGCAGAAAAATAGTTCCTATTGTTTCCCTGTTGATGATTTAAGCGGATGGCTTGTATGAAAAGTCATCTGATGGACGTCCCCTCAGCACCCCCTTTTTACCTGCAGGAGTCTAGTGAACCTTCTGATGCAGCCAAGCTAAAACAAACAAGTATGAAAAACCCTCCAGACAGGACTAAAAACAAACTTTGAGATTTCCTTTTTAAAAAAAATAAATCAATTCCTAACATAACAAAACCTGCAGCTTACTACAGAACGTAAGTGTCCTAAATCCTTAAAGACAGCACGAACCTGCCAAGCAGCAGTTCCCAGATAATTCTAGGAAATACTGAGATTTTTGTACTACAAATCTGGTTATGGAGTTTTGTTTTTCTGGGTTTTTTTTTATCTGCATGCTTTTCTACAGCTGTAACGGACTGGATTACTGGAAGCTTTGTATTTAGCGTTAATAAAAAACGGATGCCACAAGATCCTCGGATGCAGTCGTGACGGATGCTCGCTGGCTAACGTGGCTTTTTTGGTGTCATCTCCTTCAACTTACATTTTCGTGTTTCATGTGCTTAAGCAGCCGCAGCTCTCGGTAGGTCCTTTTGGCGTGAATGATGGACTGAAATGGTCGGGACAGCTTCTTGACAGCTACACGCAGCCCAGTTTTCGTGTCGAAGGCAGAACTACGATAAAGAGCAATCAGATTATCAATATGAATTATTTCTAACCGCCTTCAAATCCACACTTGGCAACCCTAGGTAGGAGCTCTCTGGAGACAGAGTCGCAGTCGGCGCCACCTCTGCAATGAGAATCATTTCTAGGTATCCTGCTCGCCACCCAAAACGCCCACGCATTTACACAACTATCGGTTTCTGCAGAAAATCTTGAAAAGATGGGTCTCACCCACACAGTAAAGGGAAATTTTGCAGAAAAGACAAAAAAGAGAAATGCTTATGATTTTTCTGTCTAAAAACAGTTATGCTCTTAAATGTAAATATGCAATAAAAAGCTGGAGAGAGGAAGAGTATTCATATTATCTGTACTCCTAAATATATTTTCATACACCACGCTTCATTACAAAACGCTGTGCTCAAGCTACTATCTGCTGCAGTTTGAGTCCACACAAAAAAACCCAGGATCTGTGCCTCATAAAATCAACTCTGATGGTTCTTAATCGTTGAGTGAAAGTGAGATCAAACCTCTTTGGTAAATCACATCTAATCCTCAACTCCCATCATACAAAACCGCACGTGAATAAGTGATATTTAGCTGTATTATTACGTACTAAAACTTGCCCCTTTAGCAGAATCTTAGACATAAAACTTGTGTATATATATATATATACACACACATATGTTTCCTCTTAGAGCCCATTAATATAACTCCACCCTATTTGGTAACTTCATATATATAGTTCATGTTTTGTACTGCAAAACCACCTTTTGAAGTACGTCCTATTACAACCTATTTATTTATAATATCAAGAAGCAAAAGTCTGAGAAATTTGTGGTTGCCTCAAAAATAAGACATGAAGAACTATGTGACATTTCCAACACACTGCATAAAATCTTCCAGAGCTTAGGGCTTATATGCGAGGAATTGAAGAAACGTGGGCATTTATCTGTGAACTAAATTACTCCTCTTTCTTCTGTTCTTTGATGTTCTTATCTAAAACAGCTCTGGTTTGTCAAAAAGGAAGGAGGGAGGAGAGAGGATGTGAAATCAAGGTTACGCTTGATTCAAGGTAACAAACGAGGGGAAAGTATGGAAAGGAGAAGGTCAGACAAAGACAATATTGATCTATTTTCACGTTTTGATTTAGGGCAAACTCCTGATTCCACTTAAAAGTGAGTACGCACTAGTTCTTGATAAATATCGAGTGAAAAGGAAAGCAATTTCTAAATGTAAAGCGTGAAGCAGCGTAATGAAGCGAAAGTTCAAAACCAGTCACAGAAGTAGTCCTAGAACAAAGCCACAGCTCCATACACAACTCTTACCCCCCTGCAGCTCTCTGAAATAAATGGAGTCGTTTATTTTTAAAGCAATGGGACTTGCAAAAATAAAAAAAAAGACCCCTTATCTCAGAGCTGCTTGGTTTCTGAGAACTTGCTGTTTATGAGAAACAGAAAACAAAATCCAAGCAGATATCTAAGCTGCAACATTTCAAGAAGTGCTTAATTCCATTTTCTTCTGAAGCCTCACGTGCACCGTTCTGCAATAGTCAAACGTACCTAATTCGGGCTGTAGCTACGTGACAGTCTTTTAACGATTCTCAAGGTGTTTTCTAGGACTTGGGAGCAAAAATAAGATTAGTCAGCACAATTCAACACACGCTATCGTGAATTAGTCATGAACCTTTACCAGCTTTCTAACGAAAAGCAGCACGCACCGATATCTCTTTCAACCTAAAACCAAGGGGGGATCCCCTGCACATTAACCACCTCCCCAGCTCCACGGTGAGATTTTCTCTCTTGGTTTGCACAAGGTTCTCCTCAGAGAATCTTTCAGAGCCGTCAGACACAACGTGAGCTGTTTCAGAGTCCAATGGAAATTCAGTTCCACCTCTCTAGAGCTACTCATGAAGCCAGAAGAATTCTAAGTTTGCTCATAGTTGAGGCCTGGTGGTTATTTGCCTACAGAGAGATGCCGAGTGATTCTCTGCAAAAATAGGTAAGTGCCTAAAGGTTTTGAGGAGCACGGAACACAGAGGTACAGAGCAGCTGTTTTAAAGGCCACTAAGCTGGTTTTCATCATGGACTTAAAAGAGCTGCATCACACTGATCATATTTCAGCTAAAAAAGTCCAATTGTGAGGGGAAATTCCTTTTTAAAACAAGAATTTATCACACCTTACACGTTTTTTAAGGTCTTATACAGTACCATGTTATGGCACCCAAACTGCATCAGTGAGCTGATGCTACAGTCCTGAGCTAACCTGAACTGAATCCAGAAACTAAGAGCTAGAAAAATAAATTATTTTAGAGAACCTGTATATATATCTTCTTAGAAATAATATTTGAGCTAGACTGGGGAACTGAAATGCTTAGAAAACTACTTAAGAACACAATTTAGGTAAACATTAGACAACCAAAACATTAATTTCTGTGCAAAGACTAAATTGCTAAAGGGTGTGCTGCGCTCATCGCTAGTGCCTATGCAAATACCCAGGGTAGCTCAATCTCTTCAGTGGTACCTCTGGAGTTAATTTATGCACCTCTCGTTAGAGACAAGAAAGTCTTAGTACCAGCCCCTTTTGAGCTCAGTCTATACACCCATTTCAACCAGTCACCCTCCCGATGCACTCTAAAAACTTGTAAATCTCATTTTTCCGCTGCTATACCAGCTTCTGCATCTAAAGCTGCAAAAAAACCCAGATGTGCTCACGCTCCTTTCATTTCTGAACGCACAGAGAGCTCCCACGAAGTTCCAACGGGCTGCCTTCGCTTTCAGAGCTCTGCTCACGGCTTTTCTGTGCACACCTGTCTCCTACCCAATGCCCCTTCCTTCTGCTAATCCTACCTGCGCGGCGGCTCCGTCTCACGCAGTTTTATGGTTCTCCTCCTATCGTTCCTCACGTTATCTACCACACCTCGCCGGCAAAGCAGGCACCTGTCTCTGCAAGCACACACGTATTTTGGAGGCACTCGCAGGCTTTGATAAGGGATTAATAAGCCTAAAGACACACTCTGGTCAAAATAAATATTAAAAAAAAATAATCCAAGGAGGAACTGTTACTGCCAAGGTGATATTTAGGGTTCGTTTCCTCTGGAGCCTAGTGGTATTTCTTAAATCCAAAGTGTTTCTCTGTTGGTTTAAGAAGAGGGGAATTATCTCAGTATCTTCATAATACTCAGGAAATTCAGAGTCAGTGTTGGTACTACACCGAAAAGTGGGGGTTGGAATGGGAAGAAATCCCAAGTTCTGGAAGGGCTACACAACTTGACAGTCTACGAACCAAAAAAAGCCAAAAAATTCTTACCCAAGATTCTGAGGAAGAGTAAATCCTGGCTGTTCAATTCCTTTCCAAACTGAACGAGGCAACACAGACAGGCTGCAAAGCAATTAAACTAAACCACTTCTTTTACAAAGGTGTCAACACAACCCACAAAGAACTGCCGCAAAAACAGCAGAGTAAATTCCTAAGAGTGTACCGAGCTCGCCTTCACAGGATTTTATAATGTGATGGCAAAGATCACCAAAACACCTCTTTGCTTAGCTTAGAGCTGGCTGAATATCACCGTTTGCTGACACTTCCCTCCGGCACACACAAGAAACACGAGATTTTCCAGCTGAACTGGAGGATCCCCCATCGATCCCATCTCCAGGCAGCCACTTCCCGCTGCAAGATCCTCCGTTGCCCAGGCCCCTCTCCTCCTCCTGGTGTAAACCTGGTTACAAAATCCTCCTCGTGCAGAAGGCTGTGCTGTACGAACGTCCAAAACTGTCGCAAGAAGAAGCGAAATTACATTTCACACACCAGATGTCACAGCAATTGTTAACGTGACTTAGGAACGAACAATCGGAGGGTACGTGTCGACGTTTCTCAAAGTTTTGGAGCTGAATCGCCGCTTGCATCTCCACACACTGCCAGGGTTTTAAAAAACCAGATCCCCACAAATACCTGAGTTGGCCGTTTGAACATCATTCTTGCAACACGGCGCACAACACTTCAGGAAACACTGGAATATGGGCTCTAACTTTAAGCACGTGCCTGCAGAAAATTCCTCTCCCTCTCCATCCATCGGCTACAAACTGAAGTCAGGTTCTAGCATTAGGCTGTCCCAAGTCATACTCACATTAGACACATGGAGCAGGCAGCTCCACAACCTAAATGATTCATCTGCTGCCTTAATTCTTTCTTTTCTGTTAATTTTTCCCCCCTTGCTTTCTAGAAATTCCCCATTTTTAAACATCTCATCTTAACTAAGTAAACAACAGAGTATTTTCCTATGTCCTAATGTAATAATGCAGTAGACATATAGTTAAGCAGCCAGTTTAAGGGTGATTAAAAACCCTGCAATTTGCTGTCCCAACACAGAGCTAATGAAACCAGGTAACTTTTTATTGGAGAGAAAAATCTCCCAAGGGACAGAGAGCAGAATATGTTTGCAGGAACAGCCTGAACACCATGCCTCACCATTTGCAGCTTCATAAAATTACACAAGTGGTTTTGTTTGTTGTTGCTGGGGTTTGTTTGGTTTTTTTTTTTTAAATTCTGACATACTTTCCATATCGCTAGTCTTTCTGAATTGTATCTTTTCGGAAAGATATTTTTAGAAGAACATGCCGAAACCCATTAACAGAGCCTGCACTGAGACTCATGTGCCACATGTCTGAAATCGCTTCCAACGTGAAAAACGCTTCATCTGGCCCGAACGCAGTTGCACAATCTTTGAAAGTTTTGACACAGCCAAACAGGAAACTCATGATGCAAACTCTTCGGTTATTGGTTGTGAAAACTAACTTTGGAAGTATTACCCGCACGATGGAGATCGTGGGAGAGAACAGAAGAGGAATGGGCTAGACCGTGGAGGGTCAACTTTAAAAATACAATGGACAAGGCATCGAGGAAATTAATTTTTTATTATATTTGGGGAGTTATGTAATTCCGGGGCACTTAGAGGGGTATTTATCAGCTACAACACCAAGGCCCTTTCACCAAACTTAAATCCATCTATTTAAAA